GAGAGAGAGAGAGAGAGAAAGAGAGAGAGGGGGGGTGAGTGTGTGTTAGTGTGTGTGATACATAGATAGATACATAGATACATAAGATAGTGGTGGTTTGGGTGTGTTATTTACCGGTGACCTCTAAAAAATGGGAAATAAAGTGGGTCGTGGTTTTCTTTAGAGCTTGTTTCCAAACAGGATAGAGCGCTTTATGTTATGCCATTCATGATCATTATTAGTATCATTATTAGTAATATCACTTACATCATGCAACGCGAATGAGCGAGCTGGATGAATTAAACGTTCTGTAAAACAAAAAGGGAACAGTCAAGTCTCGACGAGCAGGGTCGTGTTCGTTCACCGTTCACTAACTAATGATATTCTGAGAGCGACATGCAAAGTCACGCTCGCTTGCCTCTACTCGAAGGTATTACAGGCTTTGAAGAGCATAAAACTGGGATTAGGAAACCTCGAATTGTGAAAGGCATATTATCAACAATATTAAATGAACAATGAATGCAGTGATACAACAACCATGATTACGAGTTAAACACCAATACATGATAAATGAACGGTCCACCGATTCAGTAGGCTAATTATGACAAGAGTTTGTTTTAAAAAGTCGGCAATCTGCTACAAGTCCGAAACGTTTTGCGCATATATTTGCTGAATTCTCGGACCCTAACCTAACCATGACCCTGGATTCAGTTGATAAAGGTTAACCAGCTCCTTGAGGTTAACCCAAACCTTAACCCTAACAACCCGAATCCAGTAAATATGCAATTAGGGCCTAACGGTACAACGTGGAATTCTGCCAAAAAAGAAAAGTCAACTGTCCTACCTTGTGTTCAGAGTAACGGGAAAAGTAGTGAAGCGAAGAGTGTAGACACTCGATCTGTAGATAGTCGGCTGCTGTCAGTCGTCACAAGTGAAATACAAACAGAAGGCCCTGAGTCCAGCAAACTTGACTTGGCTACGACACGACTTGTGAGCGAAACAAACGAGCGACGCGCGCACAGGAAACACACCCCCAACTTGGAGCGGCCAGTGAAAGTGGGAAAAAGACAACAACAAAGTGACTCAGCCCGGCAGGAGCTGGGTCGATACCATTAATTTACGGTGTACGGCTTGATTTTGTACCGTGTTATGATTTTGCTCCTCTGCGTGGGTTTCCCCCC